GTTTTTTTTTGCAGGTATCCGTTGGAGAGCAAAAAGGAGAAAAAAAAACCGGTATCGGAACCGGCACCGGTACCGGCGGTGCCGGTAACGATTTTGGGGCACCGGAACCGAGACCGGATGTGGCGGTACCGGTGCCGGTTCTCGGAACCGTTTCGCCGTCCTGGTTGCCGTAACGGTGCTCGGTACCGGCGGTACCGTTTCCGGTGACGGTACCGAACCGGTACCGTGTCCAGCCCTACATACGCTACTCTTATATACTCCCTCCCTCCTGTCTTTGTCCACTTACCTTTTGGCACATCATCCAATGCACTCCTTTAATCCATTTTATCTTGTAATTTGTATATTAAAAAATTCTAGAAATTATATATTAATAATCTATATGTTAAGACCAATCAAACAAGATCACACATGACTATATTTAGGCTTACACATTGAGAGAATTTGATGAGTCAAAGTGCTTAGATGAACAGTTCCAAAAGTCAAAAGTGGACAAAGACAGTGAGACGGAGGTAGTATATATATATAGAAAATTTACCTAAATAGAACTAAAACATAATGACTTTCCCAATATAGGTGTTTCTATTTCCCAATGTAGGACTTTTGGTCATTATCAAGTAGTCATTATTCAAGTAAATGTCTATCATTACTGGACATTATTCCTCTCTCTAGGTCATTATTAAGTCCTATTTTGGAAATAAAAAAGTTTAAATCCTACATTGGGAAAGTCATTATGTTTTAGTCCTATTTAGTGCAAATTGTATATATATATATATATATATATATATATATATATATATATATATATATATATATATATATATATATATATATATATATATATATATATATATATATATATATATATATATATATATATATATATATATATATATATGGCGAGTTTAATTAGGTCGGCAGCGGGGGTAATTAGCGTAAATTGTGCACTTTAATTTCAAGAACATATTTAATTACCCTTTTTAGGGTTAACCTTTTTAGAGGGTGTTTAGGAGTGATTAACTTATAGATAAAGTAATTTCCACAAAAGCTGAAAAGAAAAAGCACCTCATACATGCTTCTCCGAAACGGTGTTCTGTGTACAAATTAGTGGTGGTTAAAAGCATAAGCTGAGATGCCAAACAAAGTAAAATCACTTCCACTGAAAGCAGAAGCTGAATTATTAAAAGCAGCGCACTGCCAAACACCCTCTTACTCAAGTAAACTTAATTACAATGCCAAAGTCATTGAAATATTTTTCAAAGCTTAATTGACTAACTATTTTCCTAAAAATTTATTTAAATTTTTTCTAAAGAAATACTCCCTCCATCCATTAAATTCCTTCCCATTTCTTTTCTTCTTGTCTCACTAACTCCTTCCCTTATCTTTTAAAAATTACTTTTACTCGTTATTTTTTCATATCTTACCTATCACATCATACTTTTTTATTAATAATTTATCCATCACATCTAACTTTTACTCATGGCATCAAGAGTATTTTTAGAAAGTCAACACTAAAATATCTCTCACTTAATTTTCTAAAAAGTCAATAATAAAACGACTTTAAGAGACGGATTAAGAGACGGATGGAGAGTATATAAATGTGGAATCATTAGACCCTCCGTCCTAAAATTAATTTCTCAGTTTGACTTTTGCAGTCAAATTTTTTAAACTTTGATCGTATATTACGAAAAAAATATATTGAATTTTCATATAAATTTATTATCAATAGATTAATTTTGAAATATAGTTTTGAAATATGTTATTTTTGTTATATATATTCATATAAAGAAATATTTGCACTAAATAGCATTAAAACTTAAGTGATTTCTCTAATTAGCAATTAAATTGTTTTATTCCCTAAATAGCACTTAATAATGTCTATAATGTCCTGTGATAGCGAATATTTACTTGAATAATGACTAATGCATAATGACTAAAAGTGCTACATTGGGAAGAAAAACACATGTAGTACTATTTAAAGAAAGTTATTATGTTTTAGTGCTATTTAAGTAAATTCCACTTAAAAAATTTATGTGTGTGGAGTAAGCCCACATAAACTTTGTGTCGGCTAAGCCAACATTAGTAAATTTCTTATTTTCCAATGGCTGGCATCAAATAACCCAACGTAATTTTTTTAAAAAATATCAACATAAATTTACAAAAATATCTACACATCATATTGTCGCTTAGACCGATATTAAAATAAAAAAGTTAATTGTGTGGGGCAGGCTGACACAAAGTTTTGAGGGCTACGCGCCCCTCACTAAAATTGGCAGCTAATTTAACCTAGTGTAGTAGTGGTTTCCGTACAA